TTTTTTTTTCAAATTTTGTCAAAATACGTCAGTTCTAAAAATTTTCAAAATATAAAGTACATAAAAATGTATAATAAGTTCAATTTTATTATGATAAGACTTCCTTACAAGTAAGTCTAGTTATTGATATCCAAACATTTAAAAAAATATGTAGTCTCAATTTTTATTTTACAGACATTACTAAAGTGTACATTTTGATGAAATTGAATATTTAAACAAAAAATATTTTTTGTATTATTATTTAATAGGACGTAATACCCGCATGTATTACCTCCGTCTTACAAGTACGTAACATACCAAATTTTATGCTCAGCAGATCATGCTTGACTCCGTTAGTTTAAAAATTAGAGTGAATTGACCTCTGATAAATTTTAAAGGTAAGAATATTATTTAGACGATTTAATGGACTTTTTACTATATTCTAATTTTGAAGCGAGTTATAAGTATTTTAAAATATTATATAAAAAATTTACAAATTTAAAATACTTATAACTCTCTTAAAATTTAAAATATATTAAAAAGCCCATGAGGTCGTCTAAATAATACTCTAACATTTAAATTTGATAATAGGTCATTTCACTCTAATTTTTAAACTAACGGAGCTAAATCTAAACGTGATCTGCTGGTTGTAAAATGTACCATGTTACACACAGGACACAGAGGCGGATTTATCATTTTTACGGCTATATAGGCACCAAACATTTGCCACCCCTATAATAGGTGAACAAATTACAATACCCCCTCCAAAATACCTACTATAAATATAAAATATATATACAATAGTAGTGAACACCCATTTGAATATTTAGACTACTTTTTTCCCTTTAGTTATTTAGCCTACTTTGAAAAATGTCAATGTCCACTGAATTTTAATAAAAACTTACGTGATTAAGTTTTTGATTATTATTATTGATATACGAGTAGTTCTGWCTTTCTKATATCATAACAGCAGCATAGGAGTGTCAAATTAGTAATATAGTGTGGGTATTAATTTTCACCCGAAATTACAACGTCGATCYCCGATAAGAATAATATTAATTAATATTGTAGCTTGATATATGAGATATATGACCCATATATGGTAGAGCAGGAAAACGTGGTGATGCGGGCTCTGGGCAGACTATACCAATGTGTTAACTATAGTCGTATTATCAAAAACTGTTTTCTATAAAGTTGTTTTCTATATTTATAATGAGTAATGACTATATTACTTTAAATTATAATGAACCAAAATAGATAGATAATAATGATATAAAAAAATATAAAATACAAAAAATATACATACCTATTATTATTTTTCGTAAATATTAAATAATTAATTTTCCAATTTTTTTTTTACATGTTTGATTTTTTTTAATAAAACACTACAAATTTTGCCACTCCCTTAGATTTTCCCGCCCTAGGCAGCTGCCTACTTGTCCAATGGGAAATCCGACTCTGGTTACGCACTAGTAAGACTGAGAAAACACATGGGGATTGAGGATGTAACGTCCTCTTAATAATAGTAATTACTAATTACGTAATGTTTTGTAGGTACGTGCCTACGGCTACTAGGTAGTACAACAATATTCGTAGACACCACATTTTAAATATAATATTATTAAGAGGWCGTCTCACCTGCATATGTTGTCTCCGTCTTACACGCGTACGACATATCAAATTGTACGCTCAGCAGAATACGTGTAGCTCCGTTAGTTTAAAAATTTGAGTGAATTTACCTCTTATAAAATCTAAAGGTAAGGTTGTTATCTAGACAACCTCGTAGTCTTTTTATTATATTTTTATTTTAAAGTGAGTTATGAGCATTTTAACATTATAAATTGCTTGTAGATCTTGAAATACTCATAACTCGCTTTAAAATTAAAATATAACAAAAAGCTCATGAGATTGTCTAGATAATAATCTTACCTATAGATTTTATAAGAGATAAATTCACTCTAATTTTTAAACTAACGGAGCTACACGTATTCTRCTGAGCGTACAATTTGCTATATCGTACGCATGTAAGACGGAGAAAACATATGCGRGTGCGACGTCTTCTTAATCATTATTCATTATATTTTAAAATATCTATGGAATGGTATTTTCAAAATATCTAGATTATTAGATATTTACCGTATTAGTAAAATTATTGGTAAACTATTATTCAGTAAAATATATACCGCCTCTATTTAATATCCTGTTCTGTGGAATATTTTATGATATTATAGTGATAAACTGATAATAAAGTGGAACAGATTAGTAAAATGATAACTGGAATGATCATAAAACAATGATAACGTTATCAAAGTCTTCGAAATTAGTTAGGTGTTGACATTTTTTTTTCGTTGTAATTTTTATTTTTAACAAAGATTTTTTAGTGTATAATGAGTGGTAATGTTGTTTTCCGGATACCGATCGAACGAAAATATGAAAACTCATCACTGGGGTGTTCGGATTCTTGGTTAGTTGGTTGTCTGTTCAATTGGACTGAAAACCCGATTAATGACGGAACAAGTTTACAAGTGTAACGATAGTCATTTGATCCAAAACCGTTTTTTTTTCACTTTTTTTAGGTGACCAAGCTCAACACTTGGTGATTTTGAGTAGCTGTGCTTATTGTACGTCATGGAAGACTGGATGGCAGCGTTAAAAGTTACAGCCAGCAGAGATATTTTAAATCAGGTATTATTTTAATAGATTAAGGTTTATAGTATTTATCATACAAATAAGTATCAAGTACATAGTTTTTTAATTCTAAAATAATTGTATGGGAGTTAAACTTGAAAAAACTGATGTTAAATTAACTATTAATGAAACTAATTAATATTGTACTTACCTATTTAGATTTTAATTTTAATTTTCTAAATTTCTTTTATGTTTAGCCGATTGGTGTGGATTTAAATGACTTTCTATCTGGAAATCACTCGTGGCATACTACATCTCACGCACGTCCAACATATTGCAATATCTGCCGGGAACAGCTATCGGGTAATTTAAATAACATAATATCAAATTTATTATTCATTAATTTATTGATTTTGTTCTTAGCATAGGTTCTCACAAACTCCTATTTCTGGTGTGGTTTTTATTTTTTTTATCCACCCATCCCCTTAAAACTTCCCCCATACATTTTTTTTAAATAGACGACATATGTAGTCATAATTAATAAAAAATTCTGATTTTCCAAAAAGTGAGTTATTGGCCTGTTTTTATCTAAGTACCTACATAAAAAAACCCCCATCCTCAGGTGTAGCTATAGCCTTATAAGCCACACCCATGTGCATACCTATTGTCCTTAGAATGCTTTAATTAATATCTTCCATACAAATACTTAGGTGTTACATCTCATGGATATAGTTGTGAGGTATGTAAGTGTAAAGTACATAAGAGATGTGTGGAAAAGGCGATCAGCAATTGCAAGTGGACTACATTGGCTAGCATTGGAAAAGACATAATTGAAGATAAACAAGGGGTAATAATAGTTTGTATTATTTTTGACAATATCGGTTACATTTTATATTTAGAAATTCTATTAAATCTACCTTATTTCAAATAGAGTAAGCTTTAAAACTATAAAGTTTTAATTTATTTAATCCTAACGCAGAAATAAGTACATAGTTTTGCAATAGTATTAAATTGACTGATTGCTTATGCAAACATATTTTTTGCTAGAGGTTTTTTTTAACCTATTTAACCAACTAACCTAAAAACAATTTATTAAATATTTAAATATGTTTTACTATTATTAATATTGTATACTCACGTGTATTATTTATAAATTTAATTTGTAAAAACAATTTTCTTTAATCTAACAATCATTTATTTATACATCTTAGAATATTTTAATGACACACCAATGGATGGAAGGAAATTTACCTGTTTCTTCCAAATGCGCTGTCTGTGATAAAACATGTGGATCAGTCCTAAGGTACATATTATTTATTGTATTTAAAGTATTAATTATTTCAATTAAATATTTATTCAATTCTAATCAGGCTACAAGACTGGAGATGTTTATGGTGCAGAGCAACAGTACACACTGCATGCCGCCCTAAGCATACAATAAAGTGTCCATTGGGACCTAATAGATTAAGTGTTGTGCCACCCACAGCTATACATTCTGTTGGTAAGATAAAATTTGTTATTTATTCAGTAAAAACTAATATCTTATTACTAAAATATTATATGATCATAGCTAGTGATGATTCCTTAGAAGCAATTCAACCCCATGGATGTTCCCCATTATTAGTATTTGTCAATTCTAAGTCTGGTGACAATCAAGGTATTAAATTTCTCAGACGATTCAAACAAATATTGAATCCAGCACAAGTATTTGACCTAATTGGTAACGGCCCTGGTCCTGGGTAATAGAATCTTTACATTTTGATTTTTTAAATAAAATAAAATATGTTTTTTTTAAATTTATTTATTATTCAGGCTAAGATTATTTAGACATTTCAATCCGTTCAGAGTATTAGTATGTAGTGGTGATGGTTCTGTTGGTTGGGTGCTATCTGAAATTGATAGGCTTAATATGCAGGTAACATATTATTTCTTTTTACCAAATAATGATTTATATAATTTTTGAATGTGTTTGTATATCAGGTACAGTGTCATGTTGGTGTACTACCTTTAGGCACTGGTAATGACTTAGCAAGAGTATTAGGCTGGGGTGCATCTTGTGATGATGATGCCCATTTGCCACAAATAATGGATAAATACGAACGAGCCAGTACCAAGATACTTGACAGGTAATAGTTAGATTGGTAAAAACTAAAAAGTAATGACTAGAGCACACATTTGTATGCACTTATAATTATCATAATATTTCATATAATATGTAGAAAAATTTGTGAAAATATGCAAATTAGACTTTAAAAGATGGGTTATAAAAAAAAATTACAAAATTAAACTGTTTGACAAAKAATTATGAATTTATTAGGTAAAATAATGATCTAAATACATTGAATAGCTTAAGTAGATAACTCAAATCAAATACATTTTTTTAAATTGCAACAAGATTATGTTTAAACTAGACTACCCGTTAATAGATAATAAAGAAGATGAAGAAAAAAGTACATAATAAAACTCTTATTGATATTAGCTTTCTAAAACACTATAAGATGTTAGATGACAATAATTATTATTAGAATTTTCTATTCAATGACATATTATATTATATTGCTTTATTAGATTTGGAAAATTACATATTATGTGGAAATATGTAAAAAAAAAAATGTTTTCACTAGCATGAAAGTTGAAACACTATTATAATACATAAAGATCGCTGACAAAAATCCAAAAATAAAAAA